TCTTAGCTTTGTATTCTGGTTTTCTATAATACAAATATAAATTCTTTTTAAATCTTTCTTCTCTTTTTTTTATAAAGATCCTCTTATTACTTTAATTATTCTTTCTTAGATTCTCTTATTTCTTTCTTTATTAGGTAACATCTAGATCTATAAGCTTACTTCTTCTTACTAGATAGTATTCTTAAACCTTCTGCTTAAGTTTTTATATATTTACTTAATAGTATACTAGAAATATAATATAGTTCTTTTTTCTCTTTTTAAGTTGTTTTTTATAATTCTAGTTATTTATTTTGATTATTATCTTAATTAGAAGTAATAATTTATTTAGCTAGTTAATCTTAAATAGATTATTTTTTACTAAATTCTTTAGTCCTTTATAAAAGATAACTACTAGTATAGTATCTTTCTAATTAATTTATAAGGCGATTTAATAAAATTTAGAAGTATAGTCTGTAGCAGTAGACATTACATGTTTGCCTTATATTATATTAGAAAATTAATATAACTTTTTTTTTAATAATAATTTATTTAGCTAGTTAATCTTAAATAGATTATTTTTTACTAAATTCTTTAGTCCTTTATAAAAGATAACTACTAGTATAGTATCTTTCTAATTAATTTATAAGGCGATTTAATAAAATTTAGAAGTATAGTCTGTAGCAGATCTCTTTTGCCTTATATATAGTAGGTCTTGTTTAGCTTTCTTAACTATATCTACATTCTTATATACTTATTTAATCTTAATTATAAAGTTAGCAAAACTATAAAAGATTTATTACGTATTTAATTCTTAATCTTCTATAATTTTCTTAAGCTTATTCTTAAGATAAAGTTTAAACTAATTATATATTGCTCCTTAAAAAAAAGTAACTATATAAAGTACTTTCTTTTTATCTGTGTCTACTACTTATATATAAAATAAGAAATTAATTCTTAGTTAATTTAAGAATTTTTAAAGTTTTTTTTTATCTTTATAAAAGAGATCTAATAATAAAACTTTAAATTATATATTCCTTCCTTAGCTCTTAATAGTAGTAATAAGTCCTGAGGCAACTAATATAATATATGCTTTAAGTAATATATATAATATCTATTTAATTATACTTAGTATTTTAAAGAGTAATAGTTAAAGTATTAAAGCTTAATTAATTAAGACAAGTCTTAATTATTAACTAGGTCTAAGTAAATTAATTAGGTAGAATAGGAAATATAATAAATAATACTAGAATATCTTTAACTTAGATATAAGTTAATAATATAAGTTGATTATAAAGTAAAAAGAATTATCTA